ATTCAACATTTATGATGAACGTATAGCGTGTGGATGTAATTATAAGGACAAGAATTGTATAACCCTAGCCCAAAATTGTATTATGATCTACTTGGATATTTATATAAATGTTATGCATTGGATTTCCAGAGATTCATTCCATCAGGATTTGGCGCAGAAGAAGAAAGAATAAACCCTCTTCCTCCATTCCAAGCTATCCTCGATAAGAAAATAAACATTAGAAGGGAAATTGAAGCAGCTGGGATCCCTTACACTTCTGTCTCTGCAAATTGCTGTGCTGCATACTTTGTCAATTATTTACTTCGCCCATATGAAAAAAGGAACCAAATTGTTGTCTATGGCAACGGTGAAGCCAAAGGTATGGAATCCCACAAGTTAGCTACATTATTAAAAAAAATACATATATTATTCAGGAAATAATTACAACTTCGGATGAGAAAATTAAACACAAATAAGACAATACCATAAAAGAGTAGACAAAAGATCATACAAAATTTTACCACAAGAATGTTTATTATTTCAAAATGTATTATATGTATATTCTTGAAAATCTCCTCTTCAAGTTTTATAGGTGAAACTTGAAAACCTTAAACGAAACTTGAAAATCTTTCTTCATAAGTTTTCTAGTGAAACTTTTTTATATGATCTCATTTAAGAAGTCACTCCCTTTACAAGTCGGGTGAAGAACCTCTATTTATTAATCTAATGTCATAATCTTAAAAGAGGAAATAAATATCTAAAATAAATACAATATTTTTAATTCTAAATAATATTTTAAAGACAAATAGTATATGTTTATATCATAACAATATCTTAGAGATTTGAATTGTTTTTCCAACAACATGCAATTCATAAACCTCAAATTTACTACATCAAATTTATTCATCTCAAGAGTCTTTATTTATTATCCTAACATTCTAATTAAAAAGACAAACAAATCTCTAAAATAAATACAATATTTTTAATTTTAAATAATATCCTAAAGACAAATAATATATTTCTATATCAAAATAATATCTTAGAGATTTGAAATTGAAATTTTGAATTATTTTCCCAACAACATACAATTCAAACCTCAAATTTATTACATATTGATCATTAAAATATCACATTGATCTAAGGTTGTGTTCATGTTAGTACTTGTTAGCATAGTTTTATTTCAAGAAAGCACCATTATGTTAAGAAATGGAAGGTGATGTTGATAATAAGGATTTAATGGTGTATGAAAAATTTTACATCATCAACCAATTATATAATCACTATTAATATAATTCTTAAGATATTTATTATAAAAATCAACAAACTTATATAAATAAAAAAAATTTATAACTAATGATAATATAAAATTATTTTATGTTATGAATACATCACACGTTAAACTTCAACAATAAACTATCTTGTTTTTTTTATTTTTAAATAATGTAAGACCTTTAAGTATGGTGAAATAAGTGTCTAACAATTAAAAAATGTCAAATTGTAAAGTTAATTACTTATTAAGGATGCATATTATAATGAGCAATTAATTGATAATATGTTTTATATATATATATATATATTCAATCTATCATTATATTGTGATTGAAATCATTTTATTTGTGTTGATTAGCTGTACTAAATTATGAAGAAGACGTTGGTATGTATACTGTTAAAGCGGCAAATGATCCAAGAACATGCAATCGTGTGGTTATTTATAGGCCTCCCAAGAATATTATATCGCAAAATGAGTTGATATCACTGTGGGAGCAAAAATGTGGTTACACTTTCGGGAAGGCTTTTGTTTCAGAAGAAGAAATTGTCAAGCGCTCACAGAGTAAGACATTTTATTAATCTAGGATTCATAAATATTTATTTTAGTATTATTGAAATTTATAACAAATAAACATTTATAATACATAACTTATATTATAATTAAGATTCATAATAAATAAAATTTTAAAATAATTTTTTATTTTATAATATCATAATCTTAATAGGATCAGAGGGTCGCTTTAAGAGGCTCAAACATATCTTAAAATTAACATGGTTAAAATCTTTAAAGATTGGTCCCAGATATTTATCTTGTTTTTATTTTACTTTTCTTAAAATAATAAGATTTTGAAATATGAATAAATATTATCTATTAATCGATAATTATTTAAAATTATAAGAAGCTAACTTATTTATTGATGGATTCTCAACTTGTACTCGCGAAACACATCAACTTATTTTCATACAATATGATATTTTAATTTTAAAAACAATTTTTACGTACTCTCTTTTAATTTTTATATATATAAACTAAGACATGTATGTTTGTCACATGTCTAACAACTTTACAACTTAATCAACTATAAACATCATATAATTTTACAACTTCATTCACTATCAACATACAATATGAAAACAACATACAATTTGACAACATAAACATCATTATACATTATATCAACTTAAGCATAACAAGTTATCATCATACAACATTCATCATATAACTCAATCATCATTCTTCAACTATTAATCAACTTAAAACATAATGTTTATCATGCAACTCACACTCAAAGATATTGAGACAAGGGCTTCCTTTCTTGCCTACAGCCAATGTCAATACACCTACACCCAATGTGAATGAGGTATAGAGAGCCTCTGAGTCTTTCACACCTGGCATGGTAAAACTCCATGCCCAATCTCAATTAGGTATAGAATCTTTGTCTAACTCACACTTAACACCACAACACTATCGTTCGATGCCAATTCAAACAAAGATGCTTCTCTCTTCTCACGCTCAATGTCATTCAAACCCAGGCTTAACATGACCAAGTCAAAGACAATTCTCCCTCCTCACATCTAATGCCACCAATCTTGTGCCTAGTGTAACAAGATTGAGAACCCTTGGCTTGAACTATGTCCAACGCCATGAAGGCTTGCCCAGTAGCATGAGAATTTATACACTCAGTGGAACCTTATTTCGACTCAATCCACCTAAAATCTTGTCAATAACCAAAATGCAAAAAATGTCTCAACATATATACAACACATAGAACTCATTTCCATCATCAAAAACAACATGCATCAATTGGAATTCAAGATCATCAAATTCTAACTAAGACACCTCCAAGGAACCAAAAACTCAATCAACTCATCATCTCCTCTTCATTCAATCAAGACAGCCAATATGAATTCTAACAACAAACAACCAACACAATTCGCCAATGATCAAACACAAAGCTTCCCTTACCTCAAAAAGCTCATAAATCAAAATAAGTGGAAGAAACTTGAAGTCTCCATGGTTGTCATACGACTTCTACCAACTCAGATTGTTAGTTACAAAAGCTTTGAATCATCAACTCCATCACCTTGATTCAGATATTGGGAAGGTGAAGAAGTGTTTTCAATGGAAAAAGGAAAAAAAAAAGAGTAAGATTTGGGTTCCAAAGAGTCTCTCTTTAGCTTTTCTCTAGATTTTCTCAAAACATAAACTTATGTAGTTGACATTTTAAGAAAATCTTATATACTCTTTCTTATTTTGAACCAATTTAACATCTAACTTAGGCTACCTCAACAACTTAACTCTTAGGGTCCCTAAACTTTTAGAGCTCTAAAACGACATCAATAACAACATAACAACATTAAATCATACATCACATATTTAATTAAATTTAAAACACACATTGTTACAATATATTCATTTTAAGGTAGATAAATAACATTATTTGAAAATTTTATTAATATTTCTAGAGGTGTGATAGTTGACACAATACTACAAACAATTATAGAACTAATTTAGATGACGACATAACCTTATAATGAATATATAAGTAATTAAAGATGATCACACAATAGTAGGAACTAAAATCACCATTTAAAATATTTTTAGGGATAAAAAACTATAAGAAAAATTATAGGGACCAAATTCAAAGCTGCCTCATTTTAATGGAAATAAAAATATATTTAAGACAAATTATTAATCATATTTCTTTTTTATATCTGAATATAAATTTGTGACAATAAATTCTTTTTTTTATTATTAGTCTTAGGGTGTGATCTTACATCTTGACAACAAGTATAATATGTGCAATCAAATATAAAATAACTTTTGATATCGTCATAGATTGGGTAAGATTAAGTTTTTGTTAATGATTATTCTTTGTTAGTTGGTGTGTTGATCATAATTTTATAGAAAATGTAGTTATCTTAATTTTTGTTAAAATATTACTTCTTTTTTAAAATGAATTTATCTTAATTTATATATTTTAATAAAAATAAAATAAAAATGATAAGTTAGTCCATTTAATGAACTAAGCGTGAAGTAAGTTGATTACTAAAATGAATTAACTTAATTTTTAAAAGTTGAATTTATTATTTATTTAAAAAAATTAGCCCATGGACATAACCTAGCCTATACGGTTTAGTGGGCTTTTGACTTTATGAATTTTTTTCATCCGTGGAATTTGAAGGTTGTGGGCTCTTTTGGCAGTCTCTTTTGATATAATGGATTCTGATGGAATAACACTAAGGCCAAGAAGACCAAGAGGTGATATATTGAAGGAAGCAAGAGGAATGGGTTAGTGTTGAAAAACCATAGGAGGAGTAAGCCTACTTTTGGGCCTTAGCTCCTAAGTTTTTATAGCATTTATTTTTATTCCTATTTTTGCCCTTATCTTTAATTTCCTATTTTACCCTTGTATTTTGGGGTGCTTAGGACTTAGAATTTATTTTCCTTGTATTTCCCATTTTGCCTTTGTATTATGGGGTGCTCTAGATAATTAGGTTTTTAATTTTGGGCTAGGGTGTTAATTAGAGGGTGATGCATGTTTTTTGGTGTCATTGGGTCTATTTTTGGTGTTAGAAAGGCTTAGGCCCAAGTGGAGGGCAAAGGTTGCATGGTCTTATCATGCACCTAGATATAGCCAATCTAAACCCAAAGATTCCATCCTTGGCCACCAAGTTGCATCTAGGGTTCATTTGCATTTCATTTGGAATGCATTTGCCTACTCCAAATGCAACCCTAGATGCCTCCCCTCCTATAAATA